ACCCTGCTGGTACCGATTTGATATCAGTATGAGACTGATACAAGCTGCAAATTATTCGATGCGATATGATGCAGGAAAATTGCGATATTAGTTAATTAAATGAAATTAATCCTGTTTAAGACAGAATGTTTTGGATAACTACCGTACGGACAGTAAAAATAATGGAGCGATGGTCATTACAGACACTATAGTCATTCAAAATTGGAGGTAATTCTCTAGTGTCCATCTGTGATTCATCATCATTGTAGCCGCAATTCTCTAAGGGAATAGTCGACAACGGAGGCTGTAGGATAATTTCTCCCCGGACCTTTACCTACGATAATTAATTAATCAAGAAGAGTGGCGTTTAATTATAATTAAACGCCACTATTGTTGATGTTGTCAAACTTTTCTTCTTTCTATCTTTTAGTAAATTAGACCATCAGTACAACTGACTGAATAATATCGTTCGCTAATGCAACCTGGTTATGTGACATGGGGCATTAATTAAGTAAACTTGTCGAATATTACGCCAAAACAACTCAATTTAATAATTCTTTATTTTATCCATTAATGACTTAGAAATCTTCTATACGATAAGACGTAGGAGCGTATAAAATAGTTCCTTCTATTCGCGTAGATGCGGCTCTAAATGAGTATGTTTGGGGACTTAAATAGATACTTGTTGATTTAAACCGCTTGACTGGAGCTGCCGATTTCGAGGCTTTCGAAACCGTACCATAGACGCTATGGTTGTTATGTATTTGTTTAAATAAATCACCCTATAGACTATAAAAAAATGGGTCTAATGTAGATGCCTATTTAGAACTTTTAAAAGGGAACCTTAGCGTAGTCCTTAGTTGTCATAATCGTAATATTATATTCATGTAAATAATACTGTTTTATAGACTACAGAAAATGAATGCAAAGTTGCTGTCAATTTGGAGGTTTTCAACCTTATTTTATCGAACAATCAATTTCATTGTCGTTGCGGCATGCGATTTAGACATTAACAGAAGTAACAAGCATTGGTTGAGTTTAGCTTTTATAATCGGTTACACAATCAGTTCTGGTATATCTGGTAGACTAGCTGATACTTATGGTAGACGAAAAATGTTCGTAATATCGTTATTCATTAATTTAATATGCATGCTAGCGTGTGCATTCGCATATAATTATGTCATGCTTGTTATCATGACCGGTTTCAATGGTTGCGCCTATGGCGGCATTGCTACAGCTGCTCATTCTTATGTTTTAGAATTTTTTCCTCGACGTTCTAGAGGTAGAGCTGGTGCAGTTTTGTCTTCCTTTCTAACACTTGAAAATTTATACAACTCAGCCATAGCGTTACCTTTATTACCTTACCCATTTTACTATGCTATAGGCTCTATCTACTTTACAAGTTGGCGACTTTATATTCTCATAAGCGCTATTCCAGCGTTATTAAGTTTTTGTACACTTTTATTTATGCCTAATAGTATAAGATTTGTATTAGCGAAGAACGACAAAAAAGCTTTTCGAGATGTATTAAATAAAATTGATCAAATCAATTCGTGTTTTAGTACTAGTCGTACTTCGCATGATAAAGTATTATATTCTAAAATAACGACTCTTGATTTACAACAAAATGACATCCACAGTAAGATTAGAAAAGAAGAGCGTAGAAATTTGGCGGATGATATTAGAGAATTAATGAAACAACCTTGGCGTCGACGATTTATATTATTATCTATATTATGGATCGGATATTCTATCGCCGATCATGGATTCACCATATGGTTACCGACGGTGATGGCTAGTTATGAGGGTGGTAAAACTTGTTGGCATGGTTATAATAAGACAGAAAATATACCATGGAATACTACACATCTATACAATGGTGTCAATTCTGATTGTAAAAGCGGCGATAGCTTAAAGGCTATTATATTAGATATTCTTATAGGCAATCTATTTTCATTACCAGTTACAATTTTTTGCTTTCTACTTATTAATCGAGTAGGTCGAAAAGTATTATATATTATCTTGGCATCTATTAGCGGATTTTGTATTTTAATGATACTGTTATTAGATAATAGGCTAAGTGTCATGATATTAGCATGTATTTTTACAGCGATAACTACTAATGCATGGATACCTTGTAAAATTTGGACTACAGAGTTATTCCATACTAAATTTAGATCGACTGTTGTCGGTATTTTATTCGTAATAGGATATTCAGGACTTATAGTAGGCTTAATATTATTCGCGAAACTGTATTATATAAATTGTATCGCTACATATACAATATTCGCTTCTTTAAACCGTCAGCAAAGCGACGGGAGTTTGCACTAGTAATTACTGAATAATTCGATTACTCGCTTTTCGATAGCAATGATTGTAAGGGAATGACGAATTCATAATTATCTCTGTGTTATATGAATAATATCAATTTAAGATTGGTAATAAATTTAAATGTCTAAATCTATGCTACTATCGTTGTCATTTAGTCTTATAAAGCATACTACAAACAACGGTGAATTCTAATTAAAGCTATACATGACTATTTTGGATTTTTAATATTTTAAATGTTGCTATTGTTGATATGTGATTTCTTAAGAGTACTAAGTGCACTGGCTTTATTATTTGTGTAATGTCGTGAGGTGGCACAGCACATAGGATGTACGAGATATAGAAAGGATAATAATGTCTTTAATTTGTGTTCTTCAATCGAAGGATGTAGAAAGAGCTCAGGTTGTCGAGTACATCGAGTCTGTGATGTACGCTCCTCGCAGATTCTGAATAAAATTCTTACATCCTTTAAGTTTATTAAGCTCGTACGAATTTCCATTCGTAATTTACCCTTTTTATTAACGAACGCATAATATTGTATTTATATTTATGTATTAGCTTTACATGCTAAGAGTCTGAGACGATCATTTTCCAGGTACGTTGCATGCGTTACATCTGCATCATCTACCGGTACTGTACTAACTAGTATTTACATAAACAGTATACAATTGATCGGATATAGACTTTATATTTATATATTAGATTTACATACTATAAAATACATAGCATTATCTTCAGTTCTATATTTTTAAGCATAAACTCGTTATCGTTAATTACAGATGTGAAATCCTGCATTAGAAATAGCATACCCTGATCAGTGTTCGGTATGCTAACACAATTAAATATCAGATACTACTGTTAATTTCTACGCTGATCAACTTCTCAATGCTTATCTGCTCTGTTGATCTACCGCATTACTGCCGCCGTCTGATATACTTTAATATCAAACCTTCAATTCTGATCTAAAATTCCAACTTGATAACGTCAGCTAGCACACTACCTCTCATTAGTTAACCTACGTCGAAATTGGTCTACCCCCCCCCCCTCCCTATTTGCATGCTATGGATCAGTGTTTTTCTATTTTAAAATATGAAAGAAATAGAGTGAAAATGAAAAGATTTGCGGATTTACACTCAATTAAAGTTTCTCTTTACAACGCTATCAAGTTATTTATGTGTATTTTCTGTGCCCTCATTTGTTGAATAAATTTACATTATTATTTAATTAAAATTGGCCTTAAACAGAGACCTATTAAGAGCTTATTGACAGCGGTGGCGTAAAAGAGATTCCAATAATTTGCTTTAAACTACCGTACCGTACATGATTGTGGTGAGTAGTTCGATGCAAATATCGATCATATATAAGAAAGCTATTTATTAGATAGAAACTTGGATAAAAATTAGAAAGAGGTTCACTTGTTGTACTATTTACTTCTTTTAGACTATCTTATATTACGGGCTTAGTAGTTTTATAAACTGTAATAAAGCAGACTTTAATCTCTTTTGAGTTAAATTAACTTTATTATGAGTTGTATCAGTAAAGCAAAATAAGGTCTAGTCGATCTTATTAAAATGATATTATTTGATTGACTGATTTATCCTATATGACCTATTTTGGCAGTCTTACATTACATATTTTATCTAAAATATTGTTACTCTAGTCCTCGATCATTTTATATATACATATGATACTGATATTAATTTGATCATTCGGTACTATTTTAGAATAGGTAAATCACATTTTTAAATTTAAAAATTATTATGTAAAATATCTTCAAGACTTTCTGGTAATAAAATGATATAAATGTTTGCAAGTGTATACTACTAGCAGAAACGATTGCATTATGTGATCGCTTACAGCCCGTTTTTAGGAATAGAACCGACTATAAGATAGGATCAACTTGTAGCTGCACCATGACACTAAGAGTATAGTATAATAACAATGACTATTACATTAATCCACAGATTAAAGCATTGATCGATGTGGTTAACAGAATAATTCTGTTATCTCTCAGAACGGGTGGCTGAAAATAGGATACAAAAAAATACTTCTGAAATTGCCGCTACTAGTAGTAGGAAGCCGTAATCTGATGGGATCAGAATGCTTACCTATTCACTGAAAGTAATCTACAACGATTTGTACTTAATATTAAGAAGCCATCTTTAGGGACCAAAAGTAACAATAGAGCATCCATTAGCAATGACAATTGATCAAAGTTAAGCTTTGATGATTTCTCTTTCGTATTCCTGTGAGAATTTTATCCAGCTAACAACGATGCTACAATATCCTTCCACTTGTTTATTGGTCATTCATAGAGTAATGGAAGAAACAATACATTATCACATACTGTAATGCTTCCTTTTCATGACGAAGACTATACATGATACTTTTACTCGGTTGTCCACGAAAAGCTTATTAATTAATAAATAATTTACTTTTATACAGGCTACGAACTTGTTTAAGCACGGAATAAATTCTAAATTTTTATGATTTTATATATCACTTCAAATAACGTTGAGAGTTTTACGTCGCTCACTGTTCAATTTTTTTAAAGTCGGTCAAAGCTTGAAATCTTCTATCTTTAAACATCAGTTTTAAAGCGCTAATTTAAGCAGAATCATCATTTGGCAACGAGATTGATATATTCTATTAAAGTTTAGTGAAATCTTTTTTCAAGCAACTTAAATACGGCCATGGAGATCGAGAAGCAAGTCCAAACAGATAGTGATGTTGACGATAAAACAGCTTTAATCAATGAAAAGCAGCAGCCTTCGGATACAGATTACTCTAGCGATTCTAATGATTTAACAACTCATATAGATGATATTGTAGATTCTATCGATATTGGATTATTTCATTATATAATCACGATAGCGTCCGGACTTGGCTTCGGTGGATGTACCTTATTTTATCAAACAATCAGTTTCATTGTCGTTGCGGCATGCGATTTAGACATTAACAGAAGTAACAAGCATTGGTTGAGTTTAGCTTTTATAATCGGTTCCGTTATTGGCTCTGGTATATCTGGTAGGTTAACTGATACTTATGGTAGACGAAAAATGTTCGTAATATCGTTATTCATTAATTTAATATGCATGCTAGCGTGTGCATTCGCATATAATTATGCCATGCTTGTTATCATGACCGGTTTCAATGGTTGCGCCTATGGCGGCATTGCTACAGCTGCTCATTCTTATGTTTTAGAATTTTTTCCTCGACGTTCTAGAGGTAGAGCTGGTGCAGTTTTGTCTTCCTTTCTAACACTTGAAAATTTATACAACTCAGCCATAGCGTTACCTTTATTACCTTACCCATTTTACTATGCTATAGGCTCTATCTACTTTACAAGTTGGCGACTTTATATTCTCATAAGCGCTATTCCAGCGTTATTAAGTTTTTGTACACTTTTATTTATGCCTAATAGTATAAGATTTGTATTAGCGAAGAACGACAAAAAAGCTTTTCGAGATGTATTAAATAAAATTGATCAAATCAATTCGTGTTTTAGTACTAGTCGTACTTCGCATGATAAAGTATTATATTCTAAAATAACGACTCTTGATTTACAACAAAATGACATCCATAGTAAGATTAGAAAAGAAGAGCGTAGAAATTTCGCGGATGATATTAGAGAATTAATGAAACAACCTTGGCGTCGACGATTTATATTATTATCTATAGTATGGATCGGATATTCTATCGCCGATCATGGATTCACCATATGGTTACCGACAGTGATGGCTAGTTATGAGGGTGGTAAAACTTGTTGGCATGGTTATAATAAGACAGAAAATATACCATGGAATACTACACATCTATACAATGGTGTCAATTCTGATTGTAAAAGTGGCGATAGCTTAAAGGCTATTATATTAGATATTCTTATAGGCAATCTATTTTCATTACCAGTTACAATTTTTTGTTTTCTACTTATTAATCGAGTAGGTCGAAAAGTATTATATATTATCTTGGCATCTATTAGCGGATTTTGTATATTAATGATACTGTTATTAGATAATAGGCTAAGTGTCATGATAATAGCATGTATTTTTACAGCGATAACTACTAATGCATGGATACCTTGTAAAATTTGGACTACAGAACTATTTCGGACTGAATTCAGATCGACTGTTGTCGGTATTTTATTCGTAATAGGATATTCAGGACTTATAGTAGGCTTAATATTATTCGCGAAACTGTATTATATAAATTGTATCGCTACATATACAATATTCGCTTCTTTAGGTCTACTAAGTATAATTGCGGCATTATTTCTACCCGATACATCTAACTCTGATATTCGATAATTACTCATTATGATACAGTCTCAAATATATTGAAGACTAAGTATGTTCAGATTGTACGAAAATAAATAAATTGTGTGTGAAATTCTAAGATTGCATAAATACGGTATCAATTTGTTGGAGAAAGCCCAGAAATAGTCTATAGATAGTACTTGGAAGTTGTTAGAGGAAGCTATCTTATGTAATAAAGTGAAATAGTCAAAACTTTGCCTATCTAAAGTGCAGTTTACAAGAAATTGCAGTTATTGTTTTATTTTTGAGAAGACACTTTTATCATGCTCTTATATGTAATTAGTCAACAGGAATATATAATTTCAGTAGCAAGGATTATACTACAGGTGACGCATTCTATCATCCATTACTCTATGAATAATCGAAGAGTAAGTTGGAAGACGTAGTCATTGATCACTGTAATAGTGCTGGCTTGAATAAATATATAAAATGGCATATGATTGTTAAGGATTAATCTTTAACTCGTCCTGTCAGTTTAGAATTAAATAATTGACATCTGATTGTGAGGGTCAATATATAACTAATATTTAATTGTAAGAGTCAGTCTATAAATGATTGGATTTGTTTGGTAATACTCGCAATCAGTTAATAAAGCTGCAATAATCGCTTTTGCAGTTTACAATCGATGGAATGTATGGGCCACACTTTATAAACCGTCTTGATGATACGCCAATTAATAGTTGAATGATCAGTTTATAACTCGTCATTGAGAGCGGGCGAGTTATAACTTAACCAAACAGCAAATAAATGAATAGAGTTAATAACTTGTCTGTAACACATATTATGCACATAGTATGTATTTACCCTTAATTTAAGATTTCCAAGTGGAATTTCTGCTCGCAGCACGTCATATAAATGTAATATTATTTTAGTACGCTATAAATTTTAGTGTTAATACTTATCTTACGTTGCAGTAATAATAAATTAACTTTTTTTAAGCAGCGTAGAGTGCACAATTTAAGTCTCATTAATTTTAAAAAGTCAAATTTGTACTACGTTAAACTGTCATAAAAGTTAGCTCTTTCTCTAGACTCTCGAAGTATTTGCAGAGTGACGGCTCCCATACGACATCATTAAAAGTCGATGAACGCTATTATATCGCTATAGTAGAATAAGTTTTGTGGCATTTCGAACATTTCGTGCTTATTACTTCTAACTTTCCCCGTCTAATATAATAGGTAGACGAAAGGAAGCTATATAATACAATAATTTAACTATGCTCAGGCAGTAAAAAATTTATTCAAATCTAATCAGTACTACTGCGATTTCGAACATGTTGTACACTATTGCTAGTTTTGATACTTAAATATGCTTATAGTCACATAAATGTAGCTAATATGATTGAGAAAAATGCATTAATAAATAAAATAAGCATCATTTCTAATCAACTCCCAGTTACGTTGTTTCTTATTACTGTAACCTTACTGGCTGGATGGAATTCTCATAGGAATACATTACGTAAGCACCGTAAAGGTTTACTAGCCTAATTAATAATTTTATTTGGGCGAAAACTGGCGTAAACAATGAATAGATTCCAATTGATTGTAACGTGTAAGACATATTGTCTTAAATAATGTGTGGCGATTTCACACACAACAATCTTATTTTTGAAGTAAATGGGTCAAATTGTCAAATTTTCTATCTTGAAGCTTACATTTTGAAAGATTCATTCAAGCGAAAGAGATAATTTGGCCACAAGATTGGTTATTCTGTAAAAAGTGCGGTGAAAAATTTTGTTTTCCATTAGCTTTAATAATGGCTATTGAGAAGGAACTTTTTTCAGACAGTGGTGATGATGATTGTACAACTAGGATGAATCAAAATGAAGAGTTTTCCGATACAGATTTCTCCTGCGATTCTAATAATTTAGCATCCAATATAGATGAGATAGTAGATTCCTTGGATATTGGATTCTTTCATTATATGATCATGATAGGATCCGGACTTGGCTTCGGCGGATATGCTGTGTGCTATCAAACCATTAGCTTCATTACCATTTCGGCGTGCGATTTAGACATTAACAGAAATAACAAGGGTTGGCTAAGTTTGGCTTTTAATATCGGCTATACAATCAGTTCTGGTATATTTGGTAGACTAGCTGATACTTATGGTAGACGAAAAATCTTCATAATGTCGTTACTAATTTATTTAGTATGTGTGTTAGCGTGTGTATTTGCTTATAATTATATCATGCTTGTTATTATGAATGGTTTCATTGGCATTGCCTATGGTGGCATTGCTACAGTTTCCCATACTTATGTTATAGAATTTTTTCCTCGACGTTCTAGAGGTAAAGCTGGCGCATTTGTATCTTCATTTCTTATACTTGAAAATTTATACTGCTCTGCCATAGCATTACTTTTATTACCCCACCCATTTCACTATGCTATAGGTTCTATCAACTTTACGAGTTGGCGACTTTATGTTCTCATAGGTGCTATACCAGCTTTGATAAGTTTCTGTATTCTCTTATTTATGCCTAATAGTTTACGATTTGTTTTAGCTAAGAACGACAAGAAAGGTCTTCGAGATGTATTACGCAGAATAAATAAAATCAATTCGTGTTTTACCAACACATCCAAATCGTATGAAAAAGTATCATATTCTAAACTATCCCATCTTCTTGATTTACAAGAAAATGATATCGATAGCAATATTAGAAAAGAAAAGAACAGAAATTTTATGGATGATATTCGAGAAATGATGAAAGAACCAAATCGCCGACGATTTATATTATTATCTATAATATGGCTCGGATATTGTACCTCCGATCAAGTATTTACTATGTGGCTACCGACTGTAATGTCATTTTATGCGAGTGGTAAAACGTGTTGGCATAATCATAATAAGACAGAAAATGTATCATGGAATACCACAAGTCTATTACATAGCATCAATTCTGATTGTCAAACTGGTGATAGCTTAAAGGCAATTATATTAGATATCTTTATTGGCAATCTGTTGTCATTACCAATTTTAATTTTATGCTTTTTATTCATTAATCGTATTGGTCGTAAAAGATTATTTATTTGCTTAGCATTCACCTGTGTTATTTGTATCTTAATGATTCTCTTACTGGATAATAGGCTTAGTGTCATGATCGTAGCAAGTATCTTTACAGCGTTTACAATTAATACATGGATACCATGTAAAATTTGGAGTACAGAATTATTTCCTACTGAATTCAGAACAACTGTTACTGGTATTTTATTTGTAATAGGGCATACTGCAGCTATAGCAGGTATAATAGAATTTAGTGCACTTTATTATAGTAATTGCATAGCTACACTTATATTGTTTACCTCACTAGGTCTAATAGCCGTAATTGCAGCTTTATTTCTACCCGATACATCTAACTCTGATATTGGATAGTTGTATTTTATACGTATATAATTCTTTAATTATTCCATTACCCGATTTTTGTAGTAAAGATTACGCTTGTACACTTTTAATCAGGCAAATACAAGTATTTTTTTGTGGTTATTATTCTTAGGACTTCTAATTTTAAAAATTGCTCTGATGAAGTAAGATGTTGGTAGAAATAAATGTCGTTATCCGAGTCGTACCGTTTTATGATGATTTTTGAAATATATTGATAATTGATAATAAACGTAAAAAAGTTATTAAAACTGACAGCTTCAAATTTTAGCTCAACTTAAGTTTAGGAGAAATACTAGTTTATGTTAGCTATTAACAGCAACCGTATAAAATCACTAAAAAAGGACTATCAAAGCGTAGAACTACTACTTTAAAGCCAAACTATCTAAAAATGACATTGTTCATGATTTTTAGGATTATTGCAACTTTTATCTTTTTATCTCTCTATCTTAAACTATTCAGTTCCTGAATAATACCACCTTTTATATTTTACACAGGACGGTTGGTAATATTAGTCTATCAATTTATCTCTGAATTATTCTAAGCTAGTCACGAGATACAGGGTAGTCGGGTGTTTGAGCCAAAAGCGTTTAAAATCTATTGCTGAACACAAAAAATTCTATATGGCATTTAGCATATTTTCTACTGTAGTTCTAGAAGTTTAGAGTTTAAAATTCATTTTTAATATTTCTTTGGCCATTTTAAAATCGACGAATACCATCTACTCTTAATACTAATTCTAGAGATGGCATAATTGTCATCTTCTACTCTCCGTTTAGCCATGATGTCGTTAACAAGAAATTCGCTTGTTGTTAGATAGTTCATTTAGGCTCTACTAACCCTGGATTTCCGTTATCTAATTTGTTGGTTGAGTTTACTGAACATATATAATATTGCGTAAGGTAAAATTCGCTAATACGGACCGCAGGTTTGTAGCTAGCTTCTAAAGGACGAGCAGCCAAATTGCGTTTCAAGCTCTTAATATTCTGTTGCATACTATTTCGGCTTAAAATGGCTTTGTACTTGTGTAATACTAATTGGTCTTCCAATGTTGCACTTCATCGTCGGAGCATATAAGTAATCTACGAGATTAGTAGCATCTGATCACAAGAATTAATTTGTGACAACAGTGTAGTCATGTAGCAATAAGAAAACACTAAGACAGACCGGCGATCTTAATTGAATAAGAATCCAGATCAAAACGTTTGGATTGATCCTATGTTCTATTACAACATAATATAGCCTAATTAAGATTTACAGTATTTTATGATTAAATTTAGCAAGCAGTTTTATCAACATTAGAGCAAGTGTATTATCTTAACTAAATTTATCGCTTAAATCACAATCTTACAAAGCACAACTCTTAACAATTTATACTATTTCGTATTATTCATATTAAATTCTACTCCTCCCTCCATGAAGTCATCTGGCTTACAACGCACGGCATTATGATACTAAGTAAAATTTTCTGAAATCGCACTAAATTAGTTAAATTTTAAAAGCTTCAACTGCTATTACAATATAAATATTGGAGGAGAATTATAGAAGTTGACCTTCATTGCATAATGATATTTAGAAAAAGAATAATATAATTTCTAGAGAAGATATTTTCCAAGCAAGAAGATTGTAACGATAGCCTGTCTCGGTGTATTCACAGTAGGAGTTTAAGATTGATAATGAATTTATAAGCCCTTAAATTGTAATGCTGTCTTTGCTATTTTAATATTACTAAACATATGAAAAACAGTGACGTAACAGTAATATTTTTTAAAGAAAGCTATTAATAGCTACTTTGGACTTTTAACATATAATATTATAATTTATTTGGGTATAGTGATTTGAATATTAACCAAGCAAATTTACAATTTACTACGAAAGCATCGATCAATACAGAAGCAATAAATTCAAGTAACCTATGCGGCAGTTCATTCTTGCATAAAAGATGAGAATTTAATTTTAGGCTTACTTATAATGATTTCCTGTATTGTACTAAGTCATCGGATTAATCTTTAGATGCTTTGCGGCCATTTACATGAACTACTCGCTAACCGTTGTGATAAAGTGATCTTCAAAACAATAAATCAAGAACTACAGTTTCTTGCAGATTTCACTTTATTACAGAAGTTAGGTTCGTCTAACTACCAAGGACAGAAGCGGCACAATACAAATCTCACTGTACTAACATAATTAATGCTATCTATTATTACCTGCGATTTTTAATATAAGCATTTCAATACAATTACTACAATACGTAGTGTAAACATCTTCCACAATTAGACACTTATGCAGTCTTATTACCTAGCGTACAGTTTAGCCTATACTCGTACAATTTTGAATCGTAATCTAAGCTATATGTGGTGGCTGTACTACAGCCCCATACCTGCTTTATTAAGTTTTTACGTACTTTTATTTATGCCTCATAGTTTACGATTTGTGTTAGCCAAGAATGACAAGAAAAGTATCATTATATCAGAGGTAAAATATGTTGGTATAATTATAGCGACATGGACCATCTACCATGGAATTTTACGTACTCATTGAATCATGTCGACTCTAATTTACCAAACTGATGACAATTTAAAGACAATATTATTTAATATCTTTATTGGCAATCTATTTTAAATTCCTTTTACAATTTTATGTGTTTTACTTATAAATCGCGTTGGTTGGAAATTATTGTATATTTCATTGGTATCTACTACAAAATTGAATATTTTAATGATTCTATTAATGGACAACATGCAAAGTGTTACAATCTCAACGTGTATTTTTACATCTATAACAAATACTGGCTAGATACCTTATAAAATTTGGAGTACAGAATTATTTCGTACTGAATTCAGATCAACTGCTATTGACTTTTAAATGTAATATCTCGTTTAGGGTCAATATTGGGCATGATATTATTTGCAACACTATTTTATACCAATTGCGTAACCACTTTCGTATTATTTTCTATATCTATATCTATATCTATTAATTACATAAGAAATAAGGCAATACTTGTTACAGTTGTGGAATTAAGTCTATTTGCTACCATTGGGCAAGTTCTATTTCAGTACCGTCTTATATTTATCCTATAACTTATTTTTTTATTCTGATGTTAAATTGGTCAAATTTAATACTTCTAATATTCTATTATGTTTTTTACATTTTAATAGTGATAATTTTATAATTGATGATGAAAAATAAAGTGTAATTCTGTAATACTTTAATAAAATATTTTTAGAACATACTTCAAATCTTAATTGTATTTCAATTTTTTAAAACGGACGGAATAAATGCTAGTTTTGCTTAATTAGCAGACACTATAACTCTGCTCTATAATTTACAACTTATTTCTAAAGTCGACTAGTAATTGGAAATAATGCTACGTGCAGTGGTACTATAAAATTATGACCGTAGTAGTTGTTAAGCTACTCATGAGAAAAGAAAAACTAACAAGCTTGCAAGTATTAATTCCGTTTGTAATACAGTGAATAGTATCAATCAGTCCAACTCTGCTGACGATAACTACGATTTTAGAGATGCTTAATTACTGGCCGTTAACAACATTAGTATTTTAGATACTAACTCTAGAATTGATCAGAATCATAGTCTACTTGCGACCTACCGTTATGAATCTAAAATTAAATCATTCTTGTTCAATTATTATTCCCTTGAGACTACGTAAAAGCTGATCAATAATTAAGCATCGTATTTTAGATATTCACTTTAAAATTGATTGGAATCATAGACCTAATTTCGATCTACCCTAATGAATCTAACGTTAAGTCACTCCTGCTTAACTGTTATTCTCTTAAGACTAAATAAAAGCTGATCAATAATCAATAGACATTCACATTATGAATTGAAATAATAAGTTCCTTTTCTAGTATTGTTACGTACGGCAACTGTTGATCCGCAGTGTTTATTAACTTGGCTACTTATTAATAATAATAATTCTCACGAGAATTGCTACGTTGCGCTCTATCCCGATAATATTATCTAATTCTTGGAAACGGATCGAACTATTAGACATTTAGTTCTTTCTTCAATATCTAAGTTTTAAACGATGTATTTAAAGGAAAAGTAAAGTTCGTTAGCAAGATTGATATATTCCGTTGAAAGGACAAGTTTGACTGCAAGACTTATGTAGTAATGGCGATTGAAAAGCAATTTCAGAATAACGATAATAACAAGGATAAAAGAAGTTCAGTGAGTCAAAATGAAGAACTTTATACTTCGGATTGCTCGACTGAATCGATTGATTTGACATCTAGGATAGATGAGATCGTCGATTCTTTGGATATTGGATTATTCCATTATATTATCACTTTAATATGTGGACTTGGCTTTAGTGGGTTTTCGTTCTGTTATCAATCGATCGGTTTTGTTATCATTTCAGCATGCGATTTAGACATTAATCGAAATAATAAAGGTTGGCTAAGTATAGCTTTTATGATCGGCCTTGCTACTAGTGCTAGTATATATGGTAGATTCGCTGATGTTTATGGTCGACAAAAAATTCTTGTCATCTTGTTATTAATAAATTTAATAGGAATGTTAGCAAGTGCATTTGCTTATAACTATCTAATGCTTGTTATCATGTTTGGCTTGATCGGTAGTACTTATGCTGGTATCACCACAATCGTTCATTCTTATCTTTTAGAATTTTTTCCTCGTCGTTATAGGGGTAGAGCGGCTGCCGTTTTATCGTCATTTCTGATATTTGGAAATGTTTATAGTTCCCTTATCGGATTACTTATATTGCCTTATTCATTTTATAGTCCTATTGGCGCGATATACTTTACAAATTGGCGACTTTATCTACTTGTAGGCTCTATTCCATCCTTATTGAGTTTTTGTGTACTTTTATTTATGCCTAGAAGTTTACGATTTGTATTAGCTAAGAACGATAAGAAAGGTTTTCGAGACGTATTAAATAAAATTAATCAAATTAATAATTGCTGTAAGACCACAGACGATTCCTATCAACAAGTTATTTATTGTAAAGTAGGCCATCACGATTTACGAGTAGAAGAAACGAGTAAAGATGTTAAAAATGATAAAGGAAATACTTTTCTGCAAGATATTCGGGAACTTCTGCAACCACCTTGGCGTAAACGATTGCTATTGATATCTTTAGTATGGCTTGGATATTGTGTCGCCGATCAAGGACTTACAATTTGGTTACCGACAGTTATTGCTCATTACGTAAATAGTAAAACTTGTTGGCATCATCATCATAGCGGCATGTATAATCTATCATGGAATACTACACATTCATCACATAATGTCGCTTCGGACTGTCAAAGCGGTAATAATATAAGGACTGTAATATTAAACATCTTTCTTGGTCATTTAATATCCATACCTATCGCGATTTTATGTGTTCTACTTATTAATCGTATCGGTCGGAAAGCATTATACATTATTTTAGCGTCTATGAGTGGTTTAAGTATTTTACTGCTATTGATAATTGATACTATGCAAAGCTCTATGATCATAGCTTGTATTTTTACGTCTATTTCCACGAATGGATGGACACCGTGTAAAATTTGGAGTACAGAATTATTCCGTACTGAATTTAGAACTACCGCTCTTGGTATTGCGAGCATGATGGGACATCTTGGATCTATACTAGGGATGATAATATTCGCTGCTTTATTTTATATTAGTTGCACAGCTACACTTATAATACTTTCTGCATTAGGTTTATTAACAGCTGTTGCAGCAATATTTCTACCTGATACTACAAACGCTGATATTAGATAATTAATAAACCAATAAATGAGATACATACACAATTCTAGCGATAACTGGTCTATGGGTCTTAATTGCTAATAAGCAATAGAAAATTGCTTTCTGAGAATGATCTCGAGCACAGAATTTACGATAAAGAATCTCAAAATAACACGACCAATGCCTCATTTTCTTGTTGGTTACATCTCTTTACCTGAATAAATTCTTCTACTATTATTCACAAATCATACTTGCAAACATAGTTTATTTTGGACTATACCACAGACGCACTATTAACGGAAGAAAACAGCAAGTTTTGTTTATAGAAAATTTATTTAATTTTAATTGCACGTGTTTATTTTGAAGGCCGGATTGGTATGCTCATATCTCTAAATTTTAAATTGATAAAGAGTCTAATAAGAGTATATCTGGTGTTCATTCTGGAGTAACTTTGACTGGAGTTGTATTTGACATTTTACTCTGAGAGGCTGAAATAAATTGTTAAGAAATTGAATAGCTTACACAATATTATTCAATAATATAAAAATACTTTCATAGGAAATAAGGCAATACTTATTACAACTTCGGAATTCGGTATATTAGCTAATATTAGCCAAGTTTCGTTTTAGGATGGTCTTGTAATTATCCCGTAATCTATATTTAAAGCTGATATTAAATATATCAAAATTTAACGTTTCCGAAGTTATATTATGTTTTTTACCTGTTAATAATAATAATTTTATATTTGATGGTGAAAAATAGAGTTCTATTGCCAATGCTAATTATATAATTCATTCTTTAATGTTGAAATAAAGTGCTTTTGTGGCATATTTTAAATCTAAGAATCCTCAAATAAATTAAATTTCGAGCCTTATATAAATTAGATGTATAGTTCCATACTATGATTTACAACTTATTTCTAAAATTAGATTATTTATAGGAAGTGATGCTACAAGCAGCAATACTATAAAAATACAACTGTAGTGGCTGCTAAGTTATTCACGAAAATAGCGATATTAATAAGCTCAAAATTGCTAATTCCTTTGTGTTAAAATTAGATAGGATCAATCAGTACAATTCTATTGATGATGACTGATTTTAGGGTACTGAATAACTGGCCGTTAGTAAATATCAGTACTTTAGATATTGACTCTAAAATTAATCAGAATCATAGTCTACTTGCTGCCCAACGTAACGATTACTAACGCTAAATTATTCATGCTCAACTGTTATCCTCTTGAGATTTAGCAAAGCTAATCATTGATCATTAGACATTCACATTATGAATTGAACCAATTAGTTTCTCTACTAGCATTGTTACATACGGTGACTGTTGAGCCGTATTAATTATTAACTCACCTAAGGTATTTATTAAAGAAAACAATTCTCGTGAGAATTGCCACATTGCGCTCTATCCCGGTTACATTGTCCAATTTTTTCGGTACGAATCGAATTATTAGACATTTATTTCTCTTTTTGGACTCTTCGACGTTTAGTTTTAGGCGATTCGCTTAAAAAAAGCAGTAAAATTCGTTAGCAAGATTGATATTTTCCGTTAAAATGCCAAGTTTTACTACAAAATATTTACAGTAATGGCGGTTGAAAATCAATTTCGGGATAACGATAATGTCAAGGATAAAACCCGTTTATTGAGCCAAAATGAAGAACTCTATACTTCTGATTGCTCGACTGAATCGATTGATTTATCATCCAGAATAGATGAGATCGTCGATTCTTTGGATATTGGATTATTCCATTATATTATCACTTTAATATGTGGACTTGGCTATAGTGGATACTCTATCTTTTATCAATCGATCGGTTTTGTTATTATTTCAGCATGCGATTTAGACATTAATCGAAATAATAAAGGTTGGCTAAGTCTAGCTTATATGATCGGCCTTGCTATCGGTGCTAGCATATTTGGTAGGTTAGCTGATGTTTATGGCCGACGAAAAATTCTCGTCATCGCGTTACTAATAAATTTAATAGGAATGTTAGCAAGTGCTTTTGCTTATAACTATCTAATGCTTGTTATCATGTTTGGCTTGGTTGGTAGTACTCATGCTGCTGTTGTTGCAGCTATTCATTCTTATCTGTTAGAATTTTTTCCTCGTCGTTATAGGGGTAGAGCGGCTACCGTTTTATCGTCATTTCTAATATTTGGTAATATTTATGGTTCTGTTATCGCGTTAGTTATATTACCTCATTCATTTTATAGCCCTATTGGCGCGATATACTTTACAAATTGGCGACTTTATCTACTTGTAGACTCTGTTCCATCTTTATTGAGTTTTTGTGCACTGTTATTTTTGCCTAGAAGTTTACGATTTGTAATAGCTAAGAACGATAAGAAAGGTCTTCGAGACGTATTAAATAAAATTAATCAAATTAATAGCTGTTATAAGACTGAAGTCGATTCCTATCAACAAGTTATTTATTGTAAAGTAGGCCATCGCAATTTACCAATAGAAGAAATGAGTGATGATATTGAAAATGATAAAGGAAATACTTTTCTGCAAGATATTCGGGGACTTCTGCAACCACCTTGGCGTAAACGGTTATTGCTTATGTCTTTGGTACAGCTCGGATATTACGTCGCAGAACAAGGGCTTACAATTTGGTTACCGACAGTTATTGCTTATTATGTGAATGGCCAAACATGTTGGCATCATCATCATAGCGGCAAGAATAACAATCTATCGTGGTATACTACACATTCATCACAAAATGTCGCTTCGGACTGTCAAAGCGGTAATAATATAAGAACAGTGATATTAAATATCTTTCTTGGTCATTTAATATCCATACCTATCGCAATTTTATGTGTTCTACTTATTAATCGTATCGGTCGGAAAGCATTATACATTATTTTAGCGTCTATGAGTGGTTTATGCATTTTATTATTATTGATAATCGACAATTTACAGGGCGTCCTCATCCTAGCTTGCATTTTTACGTCTATTATGACTAACGGGTGGACTCCGCTTAAAATTTGGAGTACAGAATTATTCCGTACTGAATTTAGAGCAACTGCCCAAGGCATCATAGGTGTAAATGGACATTTAGGAGGTGCACTAGGCATGGTGATATTTGCAGCGTTATTTTATACTAATTGCATAGCTACATATACAATATTTTCCGCACTTGGCTTTCTAAGCGCATTTTTAGCATTATTTCTACCGGATACTACCGACTTAGGCATTGGATAATGAGCTAATAAGTGATAAAGATATTTTCGTGAAAAGAATGACAACATTTTATGAGAATAATTATAAGGATAAGATAGTTACAAACTACTGAAAGCAGCACGCTTAATAAAATAGAAATGACCTTGATTAGAGACATAGCTGTTCCTAGTTACAGAACATGTAGAGAAGAATCGACAAAAAAGTGGGTACGAAGAGAATTTAATCCTAATCTTAAATAATTTCATTTTTATTGGATTTAAATGCTACCTTGAACCAACAACATTTAATCTAATTCATCTACTGTACTTTATGACTTTAACTCATTCGTGATTGAATGAGATCTAAGAAATCCACTATTTGACTTGGATTATGAATCTAAGAGTTATAAACCTTGATATGTTCCTTTTCTTATTTATCTTGTATAGCCTGAGCTATTCATTGAAAAGGAATGATATAGAAATATTATCCGAACAAGTTGCTGTTACGGTGTTACCTTGTCATTAGGATAATATAATAAGTACAGTAGTAGCTAGTATGGAGAATATCCATATTTGTAGTGCTAGGTAAGATAAGTAATGCCTTAACGTGGATGTTGTTTTTAATAGTTCATTACATACTTGATGTGGATTGTTATTGTGTGACAGATAGCAATAAGATGATTCAAGTTCTAATTGAAGATAGTTAAATTAGATAACCTACGAGCTTAGATTAAGATTGAGTATGAGTTAGAGATTCAAAATATTTGCTGATAGAAAAGCTATGTAAGGAACATCTCAGTTCGAGATATTTCTCCTAGCAAGGAATAACAATAATACTGTTGTTGCTTACAAATTAGACGGTTCCTATATAAACGGGAACGTTTGAGTTCAGTGGCGGTAAAAAGTTGTAGATATATCTTTGCTAATTAAAGTTTCCTCTTTACAGTCTTTTGCTGTGTGTGTTTAACGTTAAGTAAAAGGGCGTTTAAGTCAGTAGCTACTTATAGACTTTTACTGTACGTTACCTTGTCGCAGAAGTGAAATTGTGACAGTTGTGTTATTGAGAAAGTTTGTTTTTGGCTGTTAATTGTCGATACATTAATAGCATTTGTGATTATAATATGTAGTTGGCTGTTACTAGCTTGCTTCTGATCTTCTAAAATTTTCTGTTTGGAACATTTCAAAGTCTTCACTGCAGTAATCGCTGCAATAATCAACAAATACAATAGTAGGAAAGAAAGAAACGATATAAAATTAACCGAGTTTAATTTTTTGTATGGAGAAGGAGATAAGGTTGCAATAAAATTTAATTTGCACACCGATTAAATAGTAAGGATTTCAAAGACATCTAGTTAGTCGGCAAAGCATTCCTATTAAGTTTAAACGCTATTCTTTGGAGTGAAAAAATCTCTCCATCTAGTGTAGTGAAATTCAATACTTTCTTGCTTGACATTTAGCATTAATTTAGTAAGATATATTTTATCAATATCAGAAAATTTCATTGTACGATAATTTTAGTATTTACGTACTTAACGAGCTTATCGCAAACTTGTAATTACATAATATAATATAAGTTTTATTTTCTAACTAGTTCTTTAAACAATTCTATTCAACACTCTTCTATTTGATAATATAGTAGTAATGATGCAGCCATGGTTGAGCATTTATCTTGAGTTTTATTGACATTACTGCCCTACTACTATACTGCTACAACTTGTAGACTATAAAATGAAGGGCAGTTTTTACAATTTCACTTTGTACTGTCTTTATTGGATAATCCTATTATTGCTTAATAAATAGTTAATTAAAGTTGATTGCACTGAAGGAAAATTATCTAGGAAGTATATTCTAATAGTTATAAGGTATCATCGTTTGAAGCACTTTTATTAGTATATGGCAAATGATTATCTTTAACAATTGCTTTTTGGATACTGAACTACTTTAAAATTTTATAGTCACCATTGTTAATGTATATCATTAATCGTTATTGAAGGCTTTTAGTCTACCGTAGAGATAAAATATTATTCTCTCGCAACCAGAATCATAATCTGCTTTTCAGGAGTTCATCACTAACATAGCTACTCACGGTAGAGCAATTGCCTTAAAGTCGGAACCTCTTTGAAATCATATTTTATAATATAGAGATGGCTTCAATAGGCATTTAGTACTCCCATAAAATCAAAGTGAAAAAAATTACATTAAGCCATTTAGGCTTAAATGAAAACCCAATGTATAGTTACAGAAACATGCTGTATGCTCGATACCACATAACACAGTAGTGCAAGGTAAGAGTCAGCCATAATACTTTTGTACTGCAGTATAAAAGTAAAGTATGAATAGTCTATGGTAGTAGCAATTATTTCATGTGAGAAAAACTCGTATATCGTATAAAAGTGAAGCATAACTAGTCTAGAGTAATAGCTATCATTTTATGTAAGAACAACCGTATATGCATATGGTAGTGAAGCATGAATAGTACAAAGCCATGGTTATGAAGTAGAAAAGTCATATGGGATAATTTATTTCTGACTATGCTAATATCTGAATGCAAAGTAAGCTTTTAAACTAGAGATAATGACGCAGCTACATTTATCTTCGGTAATTCCCTTTGGAATAGATGGATTCTTTCGTCCGAGCTTAAACGTTCGTAACATTGTCCTATCAGAATGGATTAAGTCAAGAACACGCTAGAAGATTCAAAGAGTCAGTAATAGCAGATTTAGTTGCTAAGTAGAGAAATACATGAGGGTTTAGTAGATAAAGGATACTTCATATTAAACTTTAATAGCGTCAGATATTTACCGTATAGCAGTATGTATGCTGTCATGAAGTAACGTGAGAAATATTGACATTGTGACTATTGTAGCTAACGAAATCGCTAGCATTGATAGTTTTACAGCTAATGCACATGCTGAGAACGAAATTGTAGGATTAGATACAACACATACTAGTATATTTGACTATGCAATAGCCTTTGATTGTAGAAATTAGCGAAGAATGTAACTTTTAAATTCAATAAGCTGTATTTAAGAATTTTTTTAGAGTTACACTACAATCTATATAATATTTGTTTATTAAAAGAGTGTTGAGCTCACGATTCGTCAGCAACATGACGGGGTGTGGAACTAGTGCACTACAATGATATAGCTCTTCGCTCATCAACATCTAAACATTAAAAGATACTGTATATTTAAGCGAGAACATCACGGAGTTACTTACGCTAAATATTGTAATGCAGGTTAATTTTAAAAATTCTCCTTCAAGTTTTTTTATTATTTAAATAAGTATTGTAGCTTAAAAAATAACTTAATTTGGTTTAACCACAGTAGGTTTAACTAAGCATTGTAACACATATTGTAAACCCGACTACTTTATTCAGTTTAGAACTTAAGAATATTCTGTAGCATAATTTGATAAGAATATCACGATGTTAGATTGTAAAGTATGTGATATATTTAGTCAGTATAATACTCATGCTTCAACTATGACAAAAATTGTAGCCAACTTTGATTACAAAATGCAGTAGAAATAATGTCACTTCGTTATTGAATACGGTATAATCCAAACGTTCCGATCTTTTAGAATAGTTATTTGATAGTCTGATCCCACCAAATGCTATGCATAGCATTTAAAAGGTGGCATAGTTCAGTAGAAAAGTGGTTCAAGTCTTAGTTCAAGATAGAAAATGAAGATTTGGATTTTCATAAATTCGTAAGTAGATCATATTTTACGTAGGTAGTTTGATTGGTTGAGGCAGTAAT